CAATTTTTTTAATTATTATGAACCATATAAGTTTGTGCCTTCATTTTTTTTTCCTGTTAACTTCCACCATTCGCTTGCAACTCTGTAGTAAATTTCGGCGCGATACGTTTAAAAACAATTTTTGCGGGCAGTGTAAAAAGCATTAGAAGCTAGGTATAAGGTTTAAAACAGCAAAGACACGGACGAAAGGAATTAAGACAAACGACAGGGACAGGCCTTGGAAGCGTTCGTTTACATGTCGTAGAATTCTCTTTTCCTCATTTCAACCATTTGGACAACAAGGGTTCGAGTGCTCACAGCTGCTATGTATCGAGTAACCAGAGTGCGTAGGACATCAGACGACCCTATCACACCGTCATGTGATCGCATCGGCCGAAATAACGTCATAGTCCCTTACAGAAGCGCACTTGCGGGCTTAGCCGCTTTCAACATGTCGGGAAGGCTCCTACGAGAGGTGCAGATGAAGTCCGTTGGAAGAAGTATTGTGAACACAATAAACATTGTACGAATACCGTCCAGTTTGTTTCGCCGGCACTAAAATAAATTTGAGCATGCCTTTACGCTAGGTATTAAGTCGGGAGACGCACTCTGTGAAGCGAGACCTGATAGCTCTGAAAACCTAAATATAAACACCCAGCGCACCTTAAAACTTGCTGGTAGTTCTGTAATTTTCTATTTTCCCCGTAGAATAAAACCATATTTATTTAAAATGTTTGGATATGTAAATCTCAAATTACGAAAGTTGTATTGATAGAAACTATCAAGGTGCCATGTTACGCCTACTGTGAAAAGTTAAATACTTACTCGTTAGCACAAATTTATGACGTAAGAAACCAAATTTCTTCTCTCTTTTTTTAGATTTGGTATGAGCACAAGGTAGTACGTTACATTGCCTGTTTTTCAAAACAACAAACAAATGTTATTTTTTAGCTTTCAGACGGATCTGTCCCGACTGATCTTCGCCAACCAGTTTCTGCAGCTGTCGACGCTGATGCCTTCTGACACAGTCTACGGCCTCGGAGAGCAGTGGAATCCACTCCGCCGATCTACCAATTGGACACGCCACGTGTTCTTCAACAGGGACATGGCACCTATTGTAATACGACGTATTTATTTCTCTTCGCCATTCACTACGTATTCTGTGAGCCAGGTCGATAAAAATGCTTTATTTTAAAGGTTTGTCCACACATTTGTGTTTTAGACTGAACGACAGCCCTGCAATCGCTCGTACCCACCTTGTTTTCGGAAGAGATGTTGATTTACTAGAAAGGATATACTCTACGGTTCTGCCTACTGGAAGCTTTCGAGCCGGAGTGGGTTGAGAGGGGGGAGAGGTTAAAGTAATGGGTTAAAATGTGGATGACTACAGTCGGTGACAGATTCACAATTTAGTAGGTGATCTTCCTCCAGTGCGCGCTTGCTCCTTTACCTAGGACCTCGTCCGTAAAACCCTATTATATCTAACAGTTGACACACTTGAAGGAGGTACGGCTTCCGAAAACCGTTCTTTATTGTGGCCCGCATGCGAGCAAGTACGGGCCGATAACGATCCTAGCGTGACAAGCGGCACGGTTTCCACTGACAACGGAAGAGGACCATTTTTGAACTATGCTCTTTCTGAGCAAACATTTGCCACAATTTATATTCAAAACAAACAAGCACGATATGATCACGTTCCACCGCTGGAAATGAGCATACGATCTTCCACAGGTTCCGTCGATTCTGTCCATAGGGCGGGCTGATAGCGTAGCCAGTGCCACAAAGCAGACACGCCACGAAAAGGAGCCAGTCGTTCTAGAAACATTGTCAACTGACATTGATCTAGTAAAGTTGCCTCGACGAACCCAAATCCAGAGTTAGGCGGAAGGCGCGTTAGAGGAGGAGCTTCTACTGAATGTTCCGCCTGTGACCGACTGCAGATGCACTTAATGTATTTCCGACGAGAAAACCTCCCGGCGCCACCTAGTGGCAGGCCCTAAAACACTTACAATATGCGCATTTTGTAACCACGATTACAAGCGGTTTCAAGCCATCTTAACACACTCGATCACACTTTAAATGGAAATGCGGGAAGCAGCCTTGTGTTTGAGCGTGTCGTTTCATAAGACAAGTCATACTTAATCACCCACCTCTATTGTCCACCGGAAAGCTGATTCGTCCTCATTAGAGCCATAAAGATGGCACGCTTCATAGTCTGCGGTCTCCCTCCACCACTTGTCTTGTGGGCGCCACCATTTTGTTACCGAGTGCAGAGCGGACGGAATAGACTTTTCAAAAATCTGCTAAGCAACATTGGCGGTTGTCATATCTTGCACGCGAAGTGCGTGAATGGATGCGAGTCCTCGCCGAAAGCTGACGAAAGCGCTCGTTTTCAATACGAGCTATGCCAGGTTGACTCCGAACGCTGTCGCAGCACTCGTTTCCAACAGATGCTTAGAGTCAGGGATGGTCAAAATACATCCAAATATGTATCGAAATACAATGACAAAATACTCCTTCAAAAATGTATTTAATTACAAATCCAAGTACATTTCCAAAAAAACATTTAAGTACAAGATACAAACACAACCAAATGTATTTGGTCCCCTCCAAATACTTTTCCAAATACATTCCTCAAAATTTGCGTCAGCGACTTCAGGGCTCCTGCAACGGGTTTCAGGGTAACTCATTTTAATTTTGCATCGCACACTCGGGAGTTAGTGTGCGAGGCTCTAATGACGCAATAGAAATATAATCACAAAAAAATGTAATCAGCTTGGACGTAATAGGTGAAAAAAGTGCAGAGCTTCAAGCAGCAGATTTTTTTGTCGATTACATTTTGGTATAGACCAACAAAGAACCGAGACGACTAAAAAGCGCAGCACTAGCTAGAGAATTTTTTATCGTTGCAGCTTGCACCACTTACGAAAATCTGGACGACACGCGCATTTAGAATGTTCGAGGGAAAAATATGGATGGAAAGCAGGCTGGAAAGCATCGCAAGTTGTCACCGGTACTTATTTAGGCAGTCTGCCTGTGAACGTCGATTTTGTCACTATTCTTGCCCTGGACTAGCACCGTCATCACAAAGTCACTAAACGCTTGTGCTTAATTGAGAGACACTGCATTCGGTGAAGAGCGTAGTTTTCTTCCTGCTCTGGACAGTGACAATAAATTTGAGCGATGTATTTTCCCACAAAATAGTATTTAAACACAATTGTATTTGAAATACCCACGTTTTGGTATTTAAATACACACGTCAAATACATTACCCAATGTGTAATTAAATATAAATGCAAAATACACAAAGTGTTTGAAATACGTATTTCAAATACTTGTATTTAAAATACTGCCCATCCCTGCTCAGAGTCAGTGATCGAGCAATCGTGGACTGGTGTTGCGCCGAGTTTTAAAAATGGTCTATTGGCAATGCCTTACAAACTGAAAATGCGACTTTCTTAGCTTTAGATACCTTGGCAGGATGCTCAATCAACACAACTTCGTGCCGTCACGGACAGTTTTAGCATTTGGGGCTCCCTAGACGCGATTAAAAATATCTAGGATGTAGGGTCGGGTACTGGTAGCAACGATGTTAGGGAAGAAAAATGGCAGAATTGTCGCTACTGCGAAGTGTAGATTACTTTGAGGCTACAGACTTCATTATTCGAGGAGTAAGTCAAGCAAATTATACTATGCGTGGAGAGAAAAAGTGAGTTGTGTTTTTTGCGTTTTTTTGTGTAAGCGCAAAGAATACTTGCGTGCGGTCTTTTTGAAGAGCCAAAAGAAAAGCCTGACCATGAATTGTTGACACAATATTAAAATCTGCTCTGCAGTATTCGTCGCGCCCATACGCATGCCAAATGTTATAATACATATTGTTTCTTTTTAAAATTAACATTTCACCGAGTCGCTCAATTAGTGTGTTGCAGCGACTGCCCTTTAAGTGTAGATTACTCTTCATCGCAATTGTATGATGAAGGCAAACGTCATGATGGCACCGCTTAAGCATCAGTTTCGTGCCCCATTCCCACGGCTGCATTTCACTGCATTCAACTTTGTTTTGGCTGTTGACGGTTTTACTAACCTTGCGATACGGGCAGGGATGGGCAGTATTTTAAATACAAGTATATGAAATACGTATTTGAAGTGCCATGTGTATTTTGCATTTCTATTTAATTACAAATTGGGTAATGTATTTGACGTGTGTATTTAAATAATAAAACGTGGGTATTTCAAATACAATTGTATTTAAATACAATTTTGTGGGCAAAATACATCGCTCAAATTTATTCTCACTGTCCAGAACAGGAAGAAAACTACGCTCTGCACCGAATGCAGTGTCTCTCAATTAAGCACAAGCGTTTAGTGACTTTGTGATGACGGTGCTAGTCCAGGGCAAGAATAGTGACAAAATCGACGTTCACAGGCAGACTGCCTAAATAAGTGCCTGTGACAACTTGCGATGCTTTACAGCCTGCTTTCCATCCATATTTTTCCCTCGAACATTCTAAATGCGCGGGTCGTCCAGATTTTCGCAAGTGGCGCGAGCTGCAACGATAAAACGTTCTCTAGCTAGTGCTGCGGGTTTTGGTCGTCTCGGTTCTTTGTTGGTCTATACCAAAATGTAATCGATAAGAAAATCTGCTGCTTGAAGCTCTGTACTTTTTTCACCTATTACAACCAAGCTGATTACATTTTTTGGGGATTATATTTCTATTACGTCATAAGAGCCTCGCGCACTAACTCCCTAGTGTGCGATGCAAAATTAAAATGAGTTACCCAGAAACCCGTTGCAGGTGCCCTGAAGCCGCTGACGCATATTTTGAGGAATGTATCTGGGAAAGTATTTGGAGGGGACCAAATACATTTGGTTGTATTTGTATCTCGTACTTAAATGCTTTTTTTGGAAATGTAATTAGATTTGTATTTAAACACATTTTGATGAAGTATTTTGTCATTGTATTTCGATACATATTTGCATGTATTTTGCCCATCCCTGGATACGGGTTATTACAATTACAATGCTGACCGCTGTGCTTTGCGTCAATTTGGTGCGAAAACAGTAAAGCCACTTAACGTTTCTCATAAATATCATATGTATTTCTGCACAGCTTGTGGAATTATTATTTTGTTGTGAACAACTGGCGTCCTTCAAGATGAGCATGTAATGAAGCTTTTTTTTTCTTTTTGTCTTTAGGGAACAAGAAATCTGTACGGGACACATCCGTTTTATCTGGGGCTTGAAGAAGATGGCAAGAGCCACGGTGTCTTCCTGCACAACAGCAACTCAATGGGTGAGCTAAACAGCGAGGCGGTTATTACCGCCTCATAATAGATTTAATAAAATTATTTTTAAAAAAAATTCAAAAAAGAAAGATAAAGCTGTTTCGCTGTAGACAATTTCCCATGAACCAAGAGTATGTTTACACGCCCCTTGATTAGAGCGTGGTTTCGTGTTCCTTGACGTGTCTACGTTTGCCGTTCATTTTGGCAGTAAACTCTGCCTAAATTGCGGGAAAAAATATTTTCACTGCGCTTAGCCAAAAAAAAAAAAATTCTCTCTCTTCGCGACGTTATATATCTACGTGTGGTTACATCTTTCCGTAAAAGTACATAGCTGTCTAAAAATTACCCCCGGAGGCAAACATTCCATTCCACGATAAAAAAATACAAGGTCGGCGAGATAAATCCGAAAAATTCACCATATTAATGTAAACACACAGAGGCAGAAGAAAACATTATTACTGGTCGTTTTTTCTGCATTGTCCTGTCTGCCGTAACGACTCCCTGACTGACAGATTCTCTGAAAATCTTAGCAATGCTGTAAACTTGTGTCGTCTTGTAGCCTTAGCAAGCAATGATTTGCTTAGACCACTTTCAGGCGCAAAGCGAATCAAATATTGCTGCCCTCCGGTCTTATTTTGTGCTCATTTTATAGAAAGTCGCGAATTGTTTATTAGGCTGTAGTTCACTGTCAAATCAAGCGGCCGCAAAAACGAAATATGGCCGGTTAGCTGCTCTGTCTTGTTTAGAAAAAAAAAAAAACTGGAAAACGTCCGGATTTATACAGGCGAACCTGTAAAACACTATGCATTAAGTCATATCTGCGATCTACATGACTATTACTCGATGTCCCTTAATCTCTACGCAGGGCGCGTTCAGTTTAGAAATATTGCCTAGGCATCATCAACTGCAGCACACATTGCTTTCCAAACGCCGCTCCGTGTCTATATAGCGCAAACAATAAATAATATTTTTGCGAAGCTGTCGTGCGACTCTTTCGGCCCCTGGTTACCGACCAGTGGAAAGTGAACATAATGTTTTGCTTAGACGCAATAGGTCGCTCGAGAACACCAAGGTTATCTGACTTGACCGAGGCGTATGATGCATTCATGGGTTTCTTTCACAATAGTTGGTCCTCGCAGCGACCCTTAATAAGTGTCCTATAAAAGCACAGTAGTGCGCTCTAAAGGAACACCATGATCCCATATCTCTTTTTCTCTGTCCGTCCATTCGTTCGTCCGTCTCCGCATTTTCTAGGCATATTTAGCGGGGAAATTAAAATCATGCGACGTTAGGGTAACCCCTGACACCGACGCTGATATTGCGATGTCACCGTATGTGGACACGTCCCGTGAAGTCAGATCACATAACGTCAATTTTTTCGATAAATGTTGTTGGAAAATGGTATGTGCCGTCATGGTATAAATTGCGACACCCCCAAGTGAAAGTTTAAATTGTAGTTTCTCTCTAAATGTAACGGAAAGAGTGATGAGATGCAACGTCAGCTCGTATGAAGACGTGCAACTTGACCGTGACGTCAAGTCAGGTGACCAAGTCAAATAACCTAAGGTCAAGCAACGCTATGACTTCCCAATTTACGCGTCGCATTCATGTGGGAAGTTAAGCAAGTAGATATTTCGCTCCCCTTTCGGAGTCGGCTGTCTAATATTTTCCAACGAAATTTAAAAAATATCGTGTCTTAAACTCCGCGTTTTATGGATTATGGGACTTTGAAGATAAGGGTTACTGCAATGGTAATTTTACATATCAGATTAAGTGAACAAACATGGCTGTTGCTTTTCCAGAGGTGGTGTTGCAACCTGCACCGGCAGCCACATTCCGGGCCATCGGCGGCATCCTGGACATATTTGTCTTCGTCGGCCCGACTCCGGCCAAAGTGGTGCAGCAGTACCAGAACGTGGTCGGCTTTCCCGCCATGCCCCCCTACTGGGGCCTCGGCTTTCACCTGTGCCGTTTCGGGTACGGGACTCTCAACAGGACCCGCTTTATAATGGAGAAGAACATCGAAGCTGGGATTCCTCTGGTAAGCATGCCGGAGTTTCACCGGAACTTGATGTCAATGAAAGCCTCTTTCCATGGTAGACAGACAGCTTCTGAAAATGAATCGCGACGTTGCGCTTTCAGTTTATGTTGCTGTCGAACTTGCACTCTTATGTTATCCCCTCTGTCTTTTTTTTTTCTTATTTTTTCTTCGGCCCATTTTGCGTTTTTTTTTCTTTTTTTTTTAAATTGAAACGTCGATATAGGTTGCTACTCGCGAATACTAGAACCACAAGAAGTATATGGTTATCATATAAAGTGGATCTAGCGTAGAGTACAGTAAATGGGACGATGGTTTCTTTATTTGATTTTTCCGAACACTCGTTCTTTTCCAGACGAAAAATTGTGGGGAATTAGAGCACTTGTACAGACGCCGGTGAAGGTTTCTGGAACACGTGCCAAAAAAAAAATGACTTGCTTCGCCTTCTGACAGTGCCCGGAAGCTCCCAAAACTCATGCTTTGATGTGCTTCCTTTTCATGCTCGCTGTAACGTTTTTTGTTTTTTGTTTTTTTTACTGGCTTTTATTTGATGCTTACGAGATAACAGAAACCGGCGCAAGGTGTATCCGGTATACGAAGGCGGAAGCTTTGCCATCCATCGTGATGGATTATGCAGACAGGCGGCACGACGGCTGGCTAAGCGGAATTTTTCGCCGGTTCCGGTTATCTCATTTGCGTGTGACTAAAGTCAGTAATAAAAAAGAAAAAAAAATCGTTACTTTCAAGCACGAAAGGACGCCCATGCGCAAACCGCTTTTACCTGAGAACGGCGACGTGCTGTCAGAAGACGCAGCAAGTCATTTCCGCTGGCGCTCCCGTGTCAAATAGGTTGCTGCCAACAGTAAAACAAAGCAAAAAAAAAACTATATTACTTTTGTGTCGGTATCGGCTAGGCGTCTTAGCTGACAGCTTGGTAGTTTTGCGCTCCCTGGCTCGTGTTTAGGTCCAGCGGGAGGCAGAGATATTTGTAGTAACCTCACCAATCGATCCCAGAAAGTACTGTACTACACACAAACACTTACAATTTTCCTGAGCTTGAAGCTTCTCGACCACTTAGGCCACTCAATAAACGAGGCTGAACCAGCCCAGGATGTTGTCACTTCTTAATAGGCGTCGGGTGGTACAGCTACCACTTTATTTCTAGGCCTCTGTATTCAATTTATTTCCCGGAGCTTTGGGTAGGTAATATTTTATGTAAGAAAATATTAGGGTTCTCGACTTGTGCCCCTGACCATTGGAGACGGGTTTGCGCAGCTATACATAGCTGTGTGCTTGACACATGTAATATACTATTTTCATCAACAATTAAAAATGTTCTAATCATACACACCGCTAAAAAAATGCATACCAGTTTTAGGACCCATATTCCATAAAACATTTCGAAAGACCCATAAGAAGAAAAATATCAAAATTATATAGTTTTTTGTTTTGTGGATTTGGCAATATTATTATTTCCATGGAATTTCCTGTATGTTATGCAGGTATCACAGGCCTGAAGAAAAAAAAAATATATTGCCGGCAGCCTAAGTCAAGTTAATTTATTTAAATTAACAGTAATCGACCGATCTCACCAAACATTCTCGCATACGTGAGGCGGTTATAACGTTAGTTCACACAAGGCAGGGGGCAGTGTTCGAGACGTCTTGCGCCGTTTCGTGATCTGCTCGCGCAGGGCTCCAGTATGTTTATCGCGTGTGCTCAAATACTGAAGTTAACTCAATGCATTGCGCCGGCGGTGGAATAGTCAAACTGTCCGGTGAGATCGGTCAGTGGTAAAATTATTAAAATCAAGTGGAAGAAAACAATGCGCAGTATCTGCCATCTGACCTCACTGGAAATGTAGGGTAGACACCCGCGGCTGAGTCTTAAATTGAATGTGGGTGTTTTTATTATTGAAAATTCGCATTGAATATCGTGTTGTTCTTTAACAAAGCACTGCATATGGATCGTATGGGTCAAGTAATCTTTTTCAACAGGGATGTAAAAAAAAAACGCATGGACGAAAGGTTGCAGTCAGAAAGAAACTTGGAAGTAACCTCCTGAAAGCTTCAGAATGAAAGTCTACGTGTCCAGTCTCTTATTTCAAATTATTTAAAATTATCAAAAGCATAAGCTTTTGATAATTCCTTTTTTTTTTTTTGATACGTCAGAGATAAACCATACCCAGTTGTGGTCTACCGGTAAAATTGTGGGGGATTGAAATCAAGCATCTTGGAATGTGATTCTTGACTTCCAGGACACGCAGTGGAACGACATTGATTACATGGTACGGCAGAACGACTTCACCTACGACGACGAAAGGTTCAACGGCCTCCCAGACTTTGTGAATGATCTGCACGCTGGTGGCCGCCACTACGTCGTAATTGTGGTGAGTGGTGGAAAGTGAAACATGTGTGGAAAAAAGATTTTATATATATATATATATATATATATATATATGAACTTAACGTGGCGATCAGCCAGTACTCGAAGTGTATATTTCCCTATGTACACGATGTACTTGTTATTCAAAGCAAGCACCCGCCATCATGTTTCTTTTTTTCACTTGAAATTACACACCTCATGAAAAAATAACCACTGTTGCGCTTAATTCTTTTTCAAGGGCACTAAAATCGTCAAACACCAGGGTTGTGCCGAACTTTCGAGTCGGCGAAGAAAGCGAGAATTAATTGTCGTGACAGGCCAATCGGTGCGCTCCGTCAACTTCGGCTTCAACTTTGGGTTTCACGAGTTTTAGAGGCCGAGGGCAGTAATCTTAGTCGTAAAGTTTAGTGCCCGTCTGTATGTGCTCCGATAAAAATGCAAATTAAACACCAATGTCCTGTTAGCGCTAACAATGTCGCGCCCTACACGTAGCAAACTTTAACAACGCCTTGTTAGAAGAAGACGTAAATAGCCAAGAAACTTATTAATCTACATAAAAATAAACGAAACCTACAGATTCTTAAAGGACGACTATTAATTGATTAATGGAAGAGAACTAACTATAGAAACCGATGTTCTGCACTGCCTTTTCATAAATAAGATGTTTCAAAAAGTAAAAAAAAAAGCAGCTACCTGACAGAAATCGGTTGATTAATGTGCGGCTACTTCTACATGAGTATTTCAGGTAAAATTTGTTTCGTTATGTTTTAAATAACGCAACAATGGAGAGTTATAAAACAATTTATATGAACACGAGCTCTCAGTCTGATGCCTAGGAGCGTGTAAAAAGAACACATTTAGTACAGCGGGACGCAAAAGCATACGCAAGCAGTTTCAGCGCCTGCTAGAGGGGTCCACGCAATCTGCTCCGAACAAACCGAGGTGGTATTCCAGCGAGCGAATTCGATACAGTAAACATCGTCGCTACAAAAACGTTGGTAATCTCTTAACATGCTGGTCTGCTGCGAATGTGTTTTAATTTTCATTGTAATTACACCGCCACCAGTTCGAGGTAGGGTTCACATGGTATAGCTCGCTGCTTTGTGTTCGTGTGTCTATGATTGGATGGAGCAAATCAGTCCTAGGTAGAAGTGCAGTGTCAGGACGCTATTTTTTTTTTCTTTGTGGGTTGGAGTTCACCTTGCTAAACCAATCATCCCCAGCAAAAAGCTAAGAATCAATGGGCAATCACTGTGCGTGATTGGTTTAGTTGCCGATTGCAAACCCACACATATATTAAATGCCGTGACGCTGCACTTTAAGCAATGCTTGATTGGCTGCACACGATTAAAGCGCAAACTGCGGCGGGACTTAAGGGTCTTTTTTTTAAGTTCTGGCCAAGAAGAAAATATAACGAAAAGTTTCGTATATTTAACACCCATTTGTTGCTCAACAAATATATAACAGAGTTGAAATGGAGCTCAGAGTGGATACGCTCCTCGAGCTTCGATGTCATAAAAGTATTAAGTATATTAGGCCTAACTAAAGTTTTGCAATTTCAATAAAGGAATACTTGTAGTGCCGCTTCTGGGAAACAACGTTGAAATCGAAAAACACCCAGTAACCGTAACGCTTCCTTCAGGATCCTGCTGTGAGTGGTTCTGAGCCACCTGGAACGTACCCCCCTTACGACCAGGGCATGGAAATGGACATCTTTGTGAAAAACATGTCCGGAGGCGTGGTCTATGCAAAGGTCAGTAACAAAAATAGCCGTTGGGAGGTTTCACGTGACTCACTTCCTGCTCGGAATCTCGCCGGACACGATGTTGATGAACTTTATCTGTTCATGCGCGGAGCTGGCGTTTTCTATCTCGGTCGAGTATTTTAGTATCATGATTGACTGCATCTGCCGGAGTAGTCAGCGGCACGAAGGAGCATCATCTGATACTCGATTTTAGGTACATACCGGTCTTTATTCGTACAGCGTATGGGTCGGCGATCGAAAAGGACTTGTTGGCGGCCATAATGGCTCCAGTAGATGCCGACCGCAAGATTCCTAAAGGAAACAAGTTGTAATAAACTTAAATTTATGCAACCAAAATACGTCCACTATATTAATTTCTGATTTATTTTGTCGACGGAGCCATTCGCCATGCTTTCGTTGTCCAACAACACCAAACACGGCGCCAATAACTAAGCATCTGCCTCTATGCAAATCGCTAAAGTGGCGGACACTCATTCTCAGTATGCCGGAACGTGGCTTACCGGGAAAAAAAAGCGGTTTTCTGGAACCAACCTTTTGGTTCATAGTGCTGTAAATATAATACCCTTGTCAGAGGGACATTTTAACGCCCTATAAAACAAGCGCGTTTATAAAATCGGCGAACAAGCGCGCGCCGTATAGGGCACTTGCGCACTCAACATCGCATGCTGATTGGTAGATTTTTTAAAGGAGGTTAGTAAAAAGAACCTTTAGTACGCCGTCTGGCAGAGGCAGAAAGCACTTAACACAGCCGCAAAGCAACAAAAACGTGACCATAAAAACTTGGGGAATACTTAAGCTTGGCCTTTAAGAGTGGAATGCAATAGGGTGATCGGTTTTTGCTTGCAAAGCCTTCTGATACAGACGTGTGGTCGTTGCTCTGCCGTGCAATCATATTGTTTACGTCGTCTAGCCGGTGGCGTCACGTGTGACGTGACGCCACACGTGGCAGTGATGTCATAACCTTATTGATCATCTAAATCTGTCGGAACCATTTTCGCTGAATCTGGAAGAATGTATTTTTCGGCTAGATTTGACGGGAAAATTTTCCGCTAAACTGACCTTAAAATTTTTTGATGAATTTGTGGTGGAAATTTTCCCGCCAAGTTTTGCGGATTGATTTCGTAATGCAAAGCGTGCAGCCGCGCGTGACGTCACGTGTGACACGCGTGGCGGTGAGCGTTGCATTATGGGATTCTTCGCTCCCGCCGACGCCGGCGCCGGATTTTCTGGGAGACGAGCTCCTAAACGCTAAAGCGTTAAAATTGCTTTTGAAGACAACCCCTTTAGTTTATATAACATACATGCGTAACTTCAAGCGCTATATGAACAGAGCAGGCCTATTGTCCCCATAATAGAAGTTCATTTGTAGTACACCAAAATTGGAGAACCTGAGGCCCATCTCTCTCACTTCATGTATTGGGAAGCTGTTCGAGCACGTGATACTCAACCGGCTCCAGCCATACGTCGAGAACAACAACCTCCTACCACCGGCAATCTTCGGCTTTCGTCCGCACCTCAGTACGCAAGACATCCTCCTCCAACTACTCGAGGATATCAATCAACAAGTCTCCGCTCACAGCACTAGGGCCATCGTGACGCTGGATCTGAAGGGGGCATTTGACAATGTGAGTCACGACATCATACTTACCAATCTCAGTGATCTAAACTGTGGTCAAGGAACCTTTGCTTACATTCAAGCATTTTTACAAAACCGCACCGCCACGAACGGCATTGGCGACCTTCGTACCCAACCCCTCCCCACTCCCAACAGGGGAACGTCACAAGGAGCGGTTTTGTCGCCTATGTTGTTAAATGTGGCGATGATGAAGCTCCCTGCCCAACTCGCAGAAATAGAGCGTGTCTATCGCGCCCTCTACGCCGATGATATTACTATCTGGGCCACCTCCGGCTCTGACGTGGTTCAACGGTATGCACGTGGTGGGGGTCTTCAATGTGCGCCTGAAAAATCGCAGCTGCTCATTGTAAAGAAGAAATGCCGGAACATTCCTTATGATCCGCCACAGCTTACTCTCACACTCGAGAATCAAGTCATTCCGCAAGTGATATGCGTTAGGATTCTCGGCCTCTTTTTCCAACAAGACGGCGCAGGATCACACGCGCTTCAACGTCTTACGCATACCACGAATCAAATCCTTCGTATGATGGGACGAATTTCCAACAGACGACACGGCCTGAAAGAGGAAGACGCTACCCGTCTCATCCAGGCAGTCATCATTAGCCGTGTAACCTACTCTGCCCCCTATCTGGCCCTCAAACCTCGGGAACGAGAAAAACTCGAAGTACTGACTCGCCGGTCTTATAAACAAGCCCTCGGTCTTCCACCCGGAACCTCGACACCACGTCTCTTGTCTCTCGGCATTCACAATAACATCGAAGAGCACATCGAAGCACACCTCACAGGTCAACGCGAACGTCTCAAGCTAACACCTGCAGGCAGGCAGGTTCTAACTCGTCTGGGCTATCCAATTCAAAACCTGGGCCACAGTGAAACGATTCACCCCACTGCTGCTTATCGCACCAAAATTTCAGTTGCCCCAATACCCAAAAACATGCACCCGAGTTCCATCAGGGGAGACGACAGGCTCGCGCCCGCACTCTTCAGAAGAAACTTCAATATGCCCGCCACGTCAGATACACTGACGCCGCCAGTTACCGGAGTCGACTCGCCATGGCTGTCAGCGTAATCGACGGAGACATGCGAGAAGTGACCACCGCGACCGTTCCTACCTCCCTCCCACTCGAGGCAGAAGAAGCGGCGATAGCGCTCGCTATCACGTCCACCCCACACTCTCAACAAAAGGGTAGTCGTAGGTGCTACACTTGGGGTAGTCAGAAGCCGTCACAGATATCGCTACCCCCCCCCCCCCCCCCTTCGTTATACTAACAACTCCATGGGCAGTTACACGGCACGCAATCAGCAGGTAATCACAGTGAGCACCCCCAAAAGCAACATGGCGGCTGGCGAGCGACAGTGGAGCAATACGAGTAAGGCCTAGCGACCTAGACTGCGTTTTGCTAAAATACGATTCTCAAGGGCGTACGCCCGTTCGCTGCCTTCCGTGCTCACAAAGCACTCCGAAACGCGCCTCGAATCACCGGCACCGCACCTAATACGAGTAGGGGCCACGATATGAGGGGGGGGGGGGGAGGGGGAGGGGGGGCGCATTCGAGGGAGTTTGTCCGCGATTGCTTTCGCGAGGCCGGCTGCATTTATTTCGCGGCCAGAACACATTCAAAGAAGGAAACAAAATAGCGACAAATGGAATCATGTCTTTATTGAACAGAGCATCTGCTTGCTGTGCTTGCCGCAAGTGATCCGGCGTTTTCGGTTGACAGCGGCGAGGCGAAGCATCACCGATTGAAGCGGCGTCGGTTCCGATCGTTCAACGCTCCTGCTCACCTGTTAGCATTCGTTATCCACTTTCAAGTCCCTGGTAATCCTCGCCGCGTCTGTGCATGCACTTGGCGCTATTCACCGCACGGAACACCCATTCAACTGGCTATGGGACTGATCCCATTTGGACGAGAGGCCGAGAACCGAACCAGACCGAAACCTTTGTGACTGCTACGTGGAGCCATGGAACGCCTCTTGTTTTTCGCTCAAATAAGTAGACACATAAACGCGCGACTCCTTGAATTGGGCGGCGACACGCGCCACCTAACGGACAGCGCTCAAACTAGAGAACTAAAGAAACCAGCAATTCTTGCTGTGAGCGCCTCGCCAGACAATGCCGTATGTACATATCCCACGCCACACTTTAATCATACGCGACATTCAGACATCACAGCATTTTATACATCAACGCATTCAGAAACAGCACAAGATACATCACATATTGACACTCTACATTCCTATACACACGTCTAGTTGACACCACCAGCTTATATACTGCTGTATTTTACGTAACCGATCAGGATGGTGACCACTGTCATATTTTGCATAAATACGAAAAGACTGTGCAAGATTTAGCCGTATATATTCGTTTCCTCTACTGCCCTTAGGAAAGCGCTCGTATCTCTAATGTAGGGCCATTGCAAAAGTGAACTGCAGGTTATAAATAAATTTGAATAGTTGCTACACGTCACATTTTGAACAGTTTCGTTTTCTCGCTTGCCTACACTTCAAGTATACAGAAGCCTGTTTAATTAATTGTATTAATTATCGAAACCAATTTATGCAATCACAACTTTCTGAACACTCTGATGCATTTTCTTTTCTCTTTTACATCTCCAGACTGACTTTAGCGGCGGTTCGGTACACGTTGAGTACACTGAGCACGCGCAGGTGATTTTAGCGAAGCCCGTCCGCCGGTCCTCCCCGAAGCGTTATTTCAGTTTTCTTCTTTTCGCTAAATATGCGTTCTATGGGGTCGCGCTCGCGCCAAGAGGGCAGTGCAGAATTGCTGCTTTCAGGCCCGTGCCTTCACCTGCAACTAACGCGAAATACGTATGCTAAATTATCTAAATCCTGGTTGAGACAGTAGTGTTTGACTGCGTGCGTCTGACTGCGTTGCGGCAGCAAGAAATCAGGACATCCCTGCTGCTTATATCGCGTGCCAAGATGAGTCCTTGAATTGGATTCCACGATTGAAACGAAGCACAGACGTGCCAGTGAGTGGCTTTCGGTTCTCGACGCAATGCTGTCAAACGCTAGTGTCTGAACCGGCCTTATTTGAAGCATTTTTTTATCGAGTATGCTCGATGAAATGTGCTAAATGAACCAGAGAAGGCGAATCATGTACCCCGAGACAGAGAAATAGTGAAATACACGGACATGATCCAAGATATCTGTGTACGTTCGTCCTGTCCGGCCTCAGTCGTGGTGTTCAATGCTTCATACTTCACTGCACTTGAAAGCAAAAAAATTGGGTACGACAGGCGCGCAAGTTCGGCGGAACCGAGGAGGCCAGTTGCAACCGATCTGCACGCAGAACTAGGATGCTATGTTGCGCTTTTTGGACTCCCAG